TTATCAAGTGTTGAGATTTTATGTTGATTGTATTAAATTTATATATTATTTTAGAAGAAACTGGCACCTCCACAAAATTTTGGTCTTATTTTTATTTTACTTAAAGACATGCTATAGTGTTCCCTAAAGTGAAAGTCATGTTTTTGACAGGGTATGTACCACCACACACACACAAACACACACACACACACATTGACTTCTGCAAAACTTTCCTTGGCCTTCAGAATTTTAGAAAATGATTCTCTTAGATTATGCTGCCTCAAAAAAGGTCACAATACCTCAGAGAATATAAGTAGTCATCTGAATCTCAATAGTGAGGCAGTAAGAGAGGTAGGTAGCAGGGACTGCATTGGAAGTATGAAGACATAATTTGGAAATCTGTGTTTACCTCATTTCCAGTTGTGGACAGAGCCAGCAGCTCCTAAGCTTGATTGTATTTTGGCCTGCAAATCCATCCAGTGGGAGAACGTCAGTTCTAGACTACCAGTATTCCAAGAATATGTGCATGATCAAGACTATCTTTCTTTCAAGTCTTGGGAAAATTGTGACTTTCTAAAGTTTGGCTCCTGCCTCTTGACATTGAAGAAGAAAATTCCACTTAACTGCAAAATAAATAGTTTGGCTGCTTTGTGTGTAGCTTGAGGCATAATCTCCAAACCCTGGCCACAGTAAAAGTTTCTGTTGGCTCTTTTCACTCCTCTTCACCCTTCCTTGTTCTTTATGAGTTCCCCCATTCTCTGCCATGTACAAATCTGGTAGTGGAGATCTGGGTCAGTGATAGTGGATGAGCAAGAAGGAAATGAGCGAGAACAGGGAGAAAAGTTAAGAAAACTAACTTGGCTATGTTAACACTTGCTGAGAGAAGACAGGTAACTTTTAAAAAATGTATTTCTATTACAAAATTTTTGAAATTTATTTAAATTTTCAACTGCATTTTGAGACATAACTTGTAAAAATTCAAGTGCAATGAGTCCTGTGGGATACAGACTATGATTTTTAGTAATCTAGCTAGGATTCTGGATACTCAAGGGTGTACTTGTTTATGTAAAGCATGCTAGGCAGAAAATCTCATAGATATTCAGTTAGAGAATTTAATTTCGTGGTCATTTTGCTAAAATTGGGATAAAAGAACAACTCCCTCATTGCTTTTAGTATTGGTAGAAAACTGCCTGGGTCTTCAAACTCCAGAGATTTCATTTTGGTCAATGGTTTCCCTGCAAACAATCTTATTGGAGAAATGCTGAAATGGTTTCAATAAATTAGCTTCCCTTTTATCTATCTTTACTTCTTTGCTTATTCTTTACTAAAGTTGACATTAATATTGAGCAATAAAGTAACACACAGAACAAAGACAAGAATAGAAGATAGGTACAATTTACAAATTGAATCCTCATCACTGAATAATCAAAAGCTTACTATCGAAAATCAAAATCAACAAAAAACTATGAACCAGAGACACTCTATGGGGGGTAGGGGGCGGGAGGGGAGGGATTGGGGTCAAAATAAGGGGGTTGCAATTGTATGGGGAATATAAAAATAAAATTTATTATTAAAAAAAAGCTTACTATCAAAGTTCATGAAAGTTGAAGTTAAATTTCTATAAGACACAGTTACACCAAAAAGTTTATTGTTGCTTATTTCAATGTATATTATTTTCTGGATGCCATATGTATGTTTGTTTCTGGAAAGGAGATACTCCTGCTTCAACAATTGCAAGATAAAGCTGTAAAACTACTGTTATTAACCGCAAAAGGAACCCACATATTTTTGAGAATGATCTTTCAAAAGTCCAGAATATCTTTTTCAAGTTAGTGAAAATATGGTTATAATTTGTAAGTTATTATGCATAAAATTTAAAGGAGAAAATATAGCGAACTTTTTTTTTTAAACTAGACAAAGAACTTCATTAGCCTTTGATTCAAACATTATTCCCAGGCTTTTTCAGCTTAATTAAAATGAATTGTGTATGAAACTGGAGCCCCACTGCATAAGCAGGGGGCAAGACCAGTTATTTCCTGTCCCACCTGTGTGTGCCTCCAGCTGCCACCATGAGTTGGACCCTGGCCCACTGCTTGTCAGCATCCAACAAGCTCCAGGTCCTCATTAACAGGACAGTGCCATCTTGAATGAGTGGCCTTTTGTTTGAGACCTATGGACACTATGGATACTATCTGGGATGAGATAGTTAGCCACGTGTGGCTTTAGAAACTCTTTGTTTCCCCTGTTAAATAAACCCCAGTGTTGTTCCCTCAGCCTGAGCGATCTTACAATTGTGCACACAGGTGAGGCCCATAGACAGTGACCTGTCCTCTACCTTGGCAATTTCCACAGGACTCAAACTTAAAAATAGAGATCTAGATTTTATCAGATCCATTAACAAAAATTTTCAAAACAGTCATAGCATAAAAGAGTAGCTTCCAGTAACTTCTTTAAGTTTTTTTTTTCTTCAGAAGTTGTCTCAATTCAGTTTGCTTCATTTTTATAAACCTCGTCAAAATTCTCCACAAGATTTAGAACTTCATCATCGCCATTGTCTCCAGCAGCAAATGGTGATTTTCCATCCACAGATTGTTAGGGCAGAGCTTCAGTCAGTCTCCTTAAACTGGTCAGACTGTCTGCACCAAGCTGGTTAAGATGCTGGATAGCAGTTGTGTCAGCTGCTTTGTGTCAGTGTCAGCATGGCTTGTAATGCTGAAAGTGTTTGGTGTCAGATGCCTGAACTTGAGGGTTGTTAAAAGGGACCACAGTTTCTTAGTCTGTGAACATATTAGCCTCTTCAATATCAGAGATATTGTTTACCCCTAACTTCTTTAAGGAGATATGGTGTGTTTTTTTTTTTTTTAGTCATATGCTGTAGCTCTTCTATGAATTACCTTCTTCTTTTTGTCTGCAAGCAGTATCTTTCCCACCAATGTGTACTTGTGCTTGCAGTTTGGCCAGTTTCTTCTGGTTCATGATAGTTAGACAGTTCTTTCATCTTATTGGAGCAAAAAAGTGGTTGCTTGGGGGAGTAGGGTTGGTGCTCAGGAGGGTCTTGGGTAGGCCAGCTAAGATTAGGTGGGGATGCAAGATGGCAGCTAGAGCAACATGATTTCTAAGAGATATTATAAATGCACCATAAGTCAAGTTCTCCTTTTGACTGCAAAAGCTTAACCACATAAGCAAGAACTAATATATATATATATATATATATATATATATATATATATATATTCGACCAAACCTTGCCTCTCTTAAGATCAGAATTATAGAGCTTGGGGTTCAAAGGCACGGATTACTTATACAACCCTGCAAGAAGGTGAACTGAGTTGGGTTTGAGGTCACAGCAGGACAGCACAGGGTGGAAGGTAATGAGATGTCTGGGTAGAAGGGCACTGGCTTATTGGTTGTTCGTCTGCGAAGCCCAGGAGCATAGCTGTGGTGGAAAGGACTCATTGATTCCACTTGAAGCAGGAAGAGTGGTAAATGACTAGTAAGGGCACCATAGACTGACTCAGTCTTACCTAACCAGGGCTAAGATTTAGAAATGTCTATTTATCTGCTATTTGTCCTCTTATTTGAAGGCAATCTGTAGGCCTCATGTTCTAGAACTAGTGCAAGCACACACACACATAATAAATTATGTCTTTTGATGGGGAAGAAGCAAAATGATCAAATATAATACAATCAATACTTAAACACAGAGCGAGACTTGGATTTTTCTTTACTAAATATAAAAGAACATTTCAAACATAAAAGAAGTCGAGAGGAAAAAATATACTGAGCCTCATGTACCTATTACATGGGTACATGTAATGTTCAACAATGTTCAAAATTTTACCTATCTTGCCCATATTTGCTGATACAGTCCATATCAAAAGGCCATATCAAATTCTTTTGGATGAAGAGTGTTGGCTTGTAAAGAGACCTAGAGGATGAAACACACCATGAAGAGGGGGAAACCAAGGTCCCCCTCTTATCGGCAAGGCTGCCTAGATCGCTTCTGACTGACATTATTACAGCATTACTACATTACTTGTTAAATGAAAGTTATTAGCCCTATGAATAATCAGGTAATCAAAAAGTAGTTACTGCTTTGACTTTTTATTACCGGTTCTTTAGCCACTTACATTTAAATTTTTTTTAATATATCATTATTTTAAACACACATCATTATTTTAATTATATCCAATTAAATATACCTGCATCTCCTCAGCATGCATCATTATGTACTTTACTAAAAAGCACTTTGAATCAAATTGCATTTCAACATTCTTTATTATAATTTATGTGCACATGTCTGCAGCAGATTTATACATTTGGGAGATTAATTATCAAGAATTTTGTTTAGACTTTCCATAAATGTGAAGCTTAACTTGAACTTCAATTTACTTTGGTATTTATAATCTTCCGGTACTATTTTATTGTTTCATAAGACACCATTTTGTTTTACTATCTGAGGGGAGGATAAATACGTGAATAGATGTCATTATGGTTATCAGAACCATCTATACCCAAGTCCTTCAGTTTTTTCGTTTCTTGTGGTTTACCCTGAAACTCACTGTCTTTTTGGTATTTTGGACCCAGTCCCAATCGTATGAAAATAATATTGCTAGGCTGCAGGAATATAAGAAAATATAGCCTTTAGAGATTGCTTTTAGCTCCTGTTGAAGGATTTTATGTCTTTTTACCCATGAGTCTGTAAATTTTTATATCTGCTTTTGTATCACTCATAACTAGGCATTAGACATTCTTACTACTAGTGTTTGACATATGATGGAGCAGTACAAAGATCCTTAAACTAGAATTCAACGTATAGTATGTTCAGTCTCGCCAGCTCTCAGCCATTGGCTGTCACCTGACCCTGCTGGCTGTGTCTAAACCTGATCTACTAAATAGACTCACAAAACAAAGACCTCCAGCCTCAGCAGGTGTTGGAGGAGTCAGCTGGTCCAGTTTGATTGATGCCTCGATTGGTTCCTACAGCCTGGATTCCAGAATTTTGGATTGACTCTATGAATTCTGACCTTTTCTCAACACATAACTCCTGGTTTTGACATTTTCCTCCCTCCAGTATATGAAGGAACACTTTCTTATATGGTTTCTGGATTAACTCCGGTCCTGGCATCTTTTGTTTTCTCCAGGTAAGATGCCTGTTGTCAGTGCAGATCTGTGCTAGTCTCCGCCTCCCGTCAAAATGGAGGTTAGACGTTAGAAACTGGGTTACTCTGTGACCTGGGATATATCAGTTACATTCTCCAGTCTCAGTTTCTTCCCAACTGAGGAATTTGGGACTAGGTCATCTCAAATGTTTCTTTCATTGTTAACCTTTCTGTTTAGTTCATTTGTGATTTTTGCCTTCTTTTAACAATATTACATAACTAGTGTAAGATTATATCCTCATTGTAAAAGTTTTAAACAGTACACAAATACACAGAAAATGGGTGTAGAGTTCCCTTAACTTCACTGCCACCCATATAGCCAAATAACATAACTACCACATTAAAATTCCTTGATTAATTTGTCTTATAAATTTTGTCATACAAAGTTGCTTCTTTGTGACCTTTTAGTGGCTATGATTTGTGGCATTCTATTTTGGACACTTAGTTATTCAGTGAGTGGGGCTGGTGAGGAATGGTGTGGGTGATCTAAGAGGTACCACCTTGTAGCAGAAGAGTCGAAATATGAACAATGATTTGTTTTCCTTGTTTTGAATAAGATCCATGCAACTTGTTCTCTCCCTTTCTAATGACAAGGGAGTTTGAGGGGAAGGAGATGATGGTGATAAGAGTAGAGGGATGGGGCCTCCCCTGGTGGTGCAGCAGTTGAGCGCTGGGCTGCGAGGCTGCCTGCCGCCTCTGCAGCGCCGGTTCATTCCCCAGCCGCCCGCGAGGGTCCCACAAAAAAAAAAAAAAAAAAAAAAAAGAGTAGAGGGATGAAAAATGTGTTCTCTTATTTTTATAGATTTCAGTTTGTAAAACTATTCATTCAGAGATTTTATTTTTCTCTTTATAATAGCCTATTTAAGCTATGTGGTAAATGGTATTTTTTAAATTTTGTAGTTCCAATGAGTAAATTTTCATTGACTCATTGACTAGAATAATTAAGGACACAGATTGTAATAAAAGACTGTGTAAACAAATGTTTCTCCTAAAAAATGCTCTCTATTGAAATGCCATGACATGACAATTTCTGATGGCAAATTATTATATTAACAACAGAGTACTTTAGGCCAAAACTGAAAGAAATACAAATGTTTTAGTATAATCTGATTCCTTTGTCACTAGCATTACTTATTGTCAATAGCTAATAGCAGTAATATTATTCCAGAAAACAAGTTTTACCTTGAATCAATTTTATCCTGAATCAGACCCCTTTTAACATGAATATAGTTGCTTTTAGAAAGTGATCAGCATGGCATATGAAGCTCTTGGAGTTTTGTTCTATTGTTAATCTCTTCACTTCAGCAGATGGTACTTAGAATTCATTTTACATAAGAGTTTATGAGAATGAATCCCATTTTTAGTTTCAGTTTCTTTGCTTCTTCGCCCCATGCAAAATTAGAGGGGGGAAAAACAATCCTTACACGTATTAAACCTCAGTAATTTTTTTCCAGAGCAGATTTAACACATTTCCTCCATTCATTCTTATGGGGAAAAAAACCCCACAAAAATAGTGACTAGTACATGGAATTAAAATACTAAGGGTTGTCCATTACTGAAATCAAACAATTCTATACCCAACCTAACTTGTGGTCCAGTGAGAGGATAAAATAAAAACTTTTTTGGACATGACCACAGATCCTCTTATAAAGTACTCCTCAACACATACTGTTATAAGGGGCCTCCCTGGTGGCACAAGGGGTTAAGACGCAACCTATGAAGCTCACCGCAACCACTACAGCACAAGTTCAATCCCCGGCCAGGTTGGTGACCCACATTGCGCAGCAGACCTTTTCTGACTCGCCCGCTGCTCCCCTCAGCAGTGTATTTCAGTCGATCTGCCTGTTCTGTTCCCCGCTCTGTCTCTGGAGAATCCGCTCAACCCCCCAAAAAACCTCTGACCTGTACCCCAGTTCTTGTATGTATAAATAAATAAATATTTTAAAAAAATTAAGGGTTAAAAAAATACTGTTATGAAACAATAGGAAAAACTAATGAATACAGCAATGAGAAATATATGGGCCAAAAAAAATAAGTTATAGCTGAATCTACAAAACGATTGATATATAAAATAGAAACAATTTTTAATAATAATATTATTGAACTGAAATCCCAAACTGTAAAAAGTAGATATGGGAATACAAGGATGAGAGAATAAGACATAGAGATGGGGACAGAATTGTCTTCAGATTGTTGCCTGATCAGAAGTATAATAGAGATACTGATTATTTCTAGACATTGATAAAATATATATATATTTAAATGTGAATGTTAAAATGTCAAAGCAAAGAATGGGAAAAGGATACATGTCTTTTTAAACACTTAGAAGAAAATGGAATAATTACAATAATGTTAACAAAAGGCTGAGACAAAAAAGTCTGAATGCAAAAAAATGATAAATATAAACCATAATATAGGTGGCCAGAAGTAAGTCAGACTTATAAGAAATCACACTAAATATGGATGTCTTAATTTCACCCTTTAAAAAAACAGACTTTCAGATTGGATAAAGAAAAAAATGTTGCTTTCTTACATGTCTTAAGACATGTAATAAGAATTCACAATCAGACTCTACCCAGTGCATGTATAAACAAACGAACAAACAAACAAACAAATAAATAAATAAAAACATGCCTCTATAATAAAAAAAAAAGAATTCACAATCATATGCAGAACAAAGTTATGGAATATTAAAGCAAAGCAAACAATGATGAAAGTACATAGAGAAATAGATAACCATAATCATAGTGGGAGAATTTAAAGACTATCTCAAAAGTGAATAAATGCAGAAGACAGAATTTTAAAAACATTTAATAAAACTGCTATGACATGTAATTTACACATCTTAAATATTTATAGACTTTATATTCATCACCTAGAGAATTTACATGTTTCAAATACCTGTGAAACATTTATAAAATTTGATTATGTACTGGAAAAACCTCCATAAAATCCAAAGAGCAGGAATTATTGTTTATAATCTCTGAACAAAATATTGTAAGATTAAATAGTAACAACAAAAGGAGAATCCTCTAGACCCACCCATCTATTTTAAAAAAATGCATTCTTCCAAATAACTCTTGATTTAAGACAGAAATAAAGACATTTATCAAAAAAAATGGAAGTTCTATCAATACTTGCTGATTATGACTAAAGCTGCATTTAGAGGGAATTTTGTAGCCTCAATTCACTTATTAGAAAATAAACTGGCATTAAAAAACTCTATAATAAAGAAAAGAAGAGTAAAATAAGTAAGGATGGAGATACTTGGCAACATGAAAATCGAAAGAATACAATAATGACTTTGTCTATAAACCCAAAATTATTTCTTTGAAGTGCTATAAAGTAAACAAAAACTTTGATAAATATGATCAAGAAAAAAAGAGAAAGGATACAAATAAACTTTCCGTACTAGAGAGGACTTAATTACAGTTTCAGAGGAAATTTTCAAAAAGCTATAAAAGTATAATATCCTTGACAATAACATAACAAATTCGAAAATCTATTTGAATAGAACATATTCCTAGGAAAATATAATTACCAATATCCTTTGTAAAACAGTGTAGACATAATTTAATAAATTCTTGAAGTTTGAAATTGAACAAAATTATCAATATCATTTCAAAAGGTGACAGGAAACCTAAAGAGAATAATAACGATAGAAGAAGTAGAAAAAGTAATAAAACAATCTATCCTGAAAGATAACAGTCCCAGACTGTTTAATGAGTTTTAAATCTTCATATGCTTAAGAACAATTTAACCCTTGCTGTTAATAAAGAGAGGGAAGTAATCCCAACTCAACTGTCATCCTGTATAGTTGAGGTACCAAAACTAAAAATGACTTCTCATAGAAAATGACTGCTACATGTCAGTCTGCCTTAGGGACATAAATGTGAAGCTCCAAGTAAAATATGTAACACTGAATTCATTATTACCAACTAGTGTTAATACTAGGAATGCAATAATGGTCGAACAGTAGGAAATACAGGAATGTATTTTACTACATTTTAGAAAGTTAGAGGAAAAATTGGTTCATACCAATAGTACTAAAAAAATACATTTGACGAATTCTACCAAACATTCAGAGATGAATTGGTGCCTATCCTTCACAAACTCTTCCAAAAAATTGAGAAGGAAGAGACAATACCAAACACGTTCTATGAAGCCAACATTACACTAATACCAAAACCGAACAAGGACAACACAAAAAAGGAAAACTACAGGCCAATCTCCCTAATGAACACTGATGCAAAAATCCTCAACAAAATTTTAGCTATCAGAATCCAACAATGTATCCATAAGATAATTCACCACGACCAAGTAGGATTCATTCCAGGGACACAAGGATGGTTTAACATCTGAAAATCAATCAACGTTATCCAACACATCAACAAAAAGAAATATAAAAACCATATGATAATATCAATAGATGCTGAGAAAGCTTTTGACAAAGTGCAACACCCATTCATGATAAAAGCCCTTGAAATTCTTGGGATACAAGGAACATACCTCAACATCATAAAGGCCATCTATGACAAGCCAACAGCCAGTATCCTTCTCAATGGTGAAAAGCTGAAAGCAATTCCATTAAGATCTGGAACAAGACAAGGATGTCCACTCTCACCACTGCTTTTCAATATAATACTGGAAGTCCTAGCCAGAGCAATAAGACAAGAGAAAGACATCCAAGGAATCCAAATAGGAAAAGAAGAAGTCAAACTATCACTATTTGCAGATGATATGATAATATACATAGAGAACCCCAAAAACTCCACAGAAAAACTAATTCAACTCATCAATCAGTTCAGTAAAGTGGCAGGATACAAAATCAACACGCAAAAGTCAGTAGCCTTCCTATACACAAACAATAAATCTGAAGAAGAAGAAATCAAAAAAACCATCCCTTTTATTATTGAAACAAAAAAAATCAAATATTTGGGAATAAATCTAACAAAAGAGGTAAAGGACATATACAAAGAAAACTATAAAACACTGTTAAAAGAAATAGAAGAAGACACAAAGAAATGGAAAGACATCCCCTGCTCATGGATTAGAAGAATAAACATTATTAAAATGGCCATCCTACCAAAAGCAATATACAGATTCAATGCTATTCCAATCAAAATTTCAATGTCATTCTTCAAAGAAATAGAACAATTATTGATGAAATTCATATGGAATCACAAAAAAACCCCGAATTGCCAAAGCTCTCCTGAAAAAGAAAGAAGGGAATGGAGGCATCACACTCCCAGACTTCAAACTCTACTACAAAGCCATAATCATCAAAACTGCATGGTATTGGAACAAGAACAGACACACAGACCAATGGAATCGAATAGAAAATCCAGAAATAAACCCACAGATTTATGGTCAACTAATCTTTGACAAAGGAGCAAAGACTATGCATTGGAGCAAAGAAAGTTTGTTCAATAAATGGTGCTGGGAAAACTGGGTTGCTACATGCAAAAGAATGAAGCTTGACCACTACCTCACACCATACACAAAAATCAACTCAAAATGGATTAAAGAACTAGACATAAGACCTGAAACCATAAAATACATAGAAGGAAATATAGGTGAAACACTACGTGATTTGCACATCAAAGACATCTTTACAGATACATCACCCAAAGCAGTGATAGTGAAGGCAAAGATAAACAGCTGGGACTACATCAAATTAAAGAGCTTCTGCACAGCAAAAGAGACAATAACAAAAACAAAGAGAAACCCCACCAACTGGGAGAACATTTTTGCACCCAACACTAATGATAAAGGACTGATCACAAAAATCTGCAAAGAGCTGATGAGACTCAGCAACAACAAAGAAAATAACCCAGTCAAAAAATGGGCAGAAGAGCTAAAAAGAAACTTCTCTGAAGAGGAAATGCAAATGGCCAACAGGCATATGAAAAAATGTTCAGCATCACTTGTAATCAGGGAAATGCAATTCAAAACTACCATGAGATACCATCTTACACCAGTGAGAATGGCACATATTAAAAAAACTAGCAACAACAAATGTTGGCGAGGTTGTGGAGAAAAAGGAACTCTTCTGCACTGCTGGGGGGAGTGCAAACTGGTCCAACCACTATGGAGAGCTGTGTGGAGATTTCTGGACCTACTAAACATAGAGCTTCCATATGATCCAGCAATTCCACTCCTAGGTATTTACCCAAAGGACACAGAAACATCAATTCCAAAGAGCACCTGCACACCTATGTTTATAGGAGCACTGTTTACAATAGCTAAGCTTTGGAAACAGCCCAAATGCCCAAAAATAGATGACTGGATCAAGAAGATGTGGTGCATATATACCATGGAATATTACTCAGCATTCAAAAAAGATAAACACATGCAATTTGCAGCAACATGGATGGCGCTGGAAGGGATCATGCTCAGTGAAATAAGCCAAAAAGAAAAAGAAAAAAACCGGATGGTCTCACTCATAGCAGGAATCTAGAAAACTTAAATAAGGGACCAGGAAAATAAATAAATATAAGAAAGTGAAAAATCAAAATCAACAAAAAACTATGAACCAGAGACACTTTTTGGGGGTGGGGGGCGGGAGGGGAGGGATTGGGGTCAGAATGGGGGGGTTGCAATTGTATGGGGAATATAAAAATAAAATTTATTATAAAAAAAAATAAAAAAAGAAAGAAAAAAAAATACGTTTGATATGTCAATGCCTATTTGTGACTTAAATTAATTAAAGCAAAATGACCTCCAGGCTGTTCACAAATAGAAAATTTAGTAAGTTGGTAGAGCATTTCTACCAGAAATCCGAAATTTTATGGTAAAATTTTATGGTAATATAGAACATACCTCTGAAAGCAGGAGCAGGATGGGAAGGTTGATTGTCTTTACTCCTCCCCAAAATTAAAATAGAGATCCTAACTGATGATTTTGTAAGAATAAGAAATGAGTATATTATTGGGGAGAAAAGACAAAATGTTTCACTATATGCATACACATACACATACACAAATATACCAGATAGTGGTAGAAGCAGTATCAGTGCATGGATTACATATATATACACATATACATCTGTACACATGTGCATTATATGTCTACATATGTATATGTATACACACATACAATGCACTCCTTAATGAGCGGGGTACATTCTCAGAATCGTGTTGTTGGGTGATTGGTCACTATGTGAACGACATAGAGTGAAATTCCACAACCTAGATGGTATAGCATGCTGCACACCCAGTCACATGGTGCAGCCTTTGTGTGTGCAGTCCATCATGGACTGGACCATCCATAAGCTACACATTACTATACATATTATACAGCAGATCCTCAAATGGTATTTTTTCATTCAAAGTTATTTTTCTATAATGTTGATGAGAAAAAGAAAATCAGTTCCTATCTTGGGCCACTGCCTTTCCATGTCTGCATGGGCTTTCTCCAGGAATTTCACTTCCCTTCCACATCCAATGGTGTGGACATTAGTTCATTAGTGTGTCTCAATTGTCCCAGTCTGAGTGCATTTGGGTATGGGTGTGACTTGCCCTTTGGTGGAAAGGGCTTCTGTCCAGAACTGGGTCCCACGTTGTGTGCCCTAAGCTGCCAGTTCCCATGACCTGAGGCCCTGAACTGGAATAGACACGGTGAAAAATGAATGAATGAATGCAAATTATTGTTTAATGTTAGAAGTGCTTTGGAAGTTTATTTAGAAGTTTGATTTTTTTTTTTTTTTTTTTTTTTTGTGACCAGAAGTCCGCTGCTGAAACTTAACTGCTGTTTATATCAATCAGTCCATGATAAGGTCAGTTTCATTATAGGTCATTATATTTAAAATTGAAGTTTCTAATAATCTATCAAGAACATTAAGTGAGGGCTTACTGCATATGTGTATTATATAACAGAAAAAGTTCTATAATAGAAAAGAACTAGAAGGATACATACCAAGTGTAAAGAGATAACCCTTCTAGAGATAGGGAAAAAAGATTGTGGGAGAGGGAAGATGTGCTTTTATTGCTGATATTTATATGAACTTGTAGATAATTTGTAACATTATTTGTTGTACTTGTATTGTCAAAATCTATCTCCTTTCAAACTTCTAATTATTTAAGGGGAAAAGTCATGATTCTACTATTTTAATATTTGTCACATTTTGTATGACATGTCATAGTAAAAGAGAAACATTACAGGGTCCTCCCTGGTGGCTTAGGGGTTAAGTTTCAGTGCTACCACCGCAAAGGCCCACCTGCAATGACTTGAGCTGGATCCCAGGCCAGGGAGCTAACACATATGGTGTAGCAGACCTCTCTTGTCTTGTCCTCTGTTCCCCTTAGCAGTGTAGATCTCCCTGTTCTGCTCCTTGCTCTATCTCTGGTGAATCCTCTTACCCACCCTACCCACCCCCTTGTCCCGCACCTCTGGCAAAAATAAACAAATAAAATCTTAAAAGAAAAAGAGAAACATTACATTTTAATGGTTATGCTCATTATTTCCCCCCCCACCCCCAATAATATATTCATTGGGTGACCAATATGTGCCTGGAACACTTGATTCTCAGACATAGCACCTGACAGCCTGTTCTTACCCCAGGGCTACTCTGGTTATTTCCCTGGAAGAACACATGCCTCCTGAAAAACTGGAGGACAAAGCATAGATTATCTTGCTTGGTGCATTTGTGGACCTCCCTAGGCCATGGAACAGAAGTTCCTTTGCAGTGAAGGGCAGACCAATACTATTTGTTGTGGGGCAGATGAAATGTCACTGGAACCAAGAGCTTCTATGAATTTCACATGAAGAGAATTAACGTTTTGTTTGCTCTTTTATGTTTGCAAGATCTATCCTTTATAGAAGGAAGCCTGATTATGTGAAATAACTTGGACTGCAAGTAGCCATTGTTAGCAGTGCGTTGTATTATAACCAAGGTTAGTAACAAATATGAATTGACCATTACACAATTTCCAAACCTATTTCTATCTCCATTTTGTGTGCACATTTCCTACTTTAAGTTACATTCATTCCTGTTTGCGTTTCTTAAATCAAATAATAATTTCAGAATTTCGGATTTGTCAATCTGAATACATGCAGTAAAATAAAACCCCTCTGTATTCCTTCCCTTGGGAGAGCATCCTGTGTTGACCAGAGAGTTGCAATAGCAAGGGTCTGCCCTAGGCATCAGAAAATGTGGGTTTGAGGATCCTTTCTGGGCATTTACAAGTCTTTTAATTTCTCTTAGGTGTCTCTATGTATCAGCTGTAAAATGAAGAGATTAAGGAAAAATCGAAAGGGGAGTAGGGGGAAGAAATGTAGGTTATGAAGGAAAAAGGACTTTGGAAGGAAGTGTAAAGCAACAAACCAGCATGAAACTTAGTAGAAACCCTTTGCTCCCCCCACCCCCCCACACACAGAGTTACATGTGTGCTTTGGATCTTTATAAACTTTCATTTACATCTCCTCTAAAGTAGGCATTTGAATTCTTCCTAGCACATTCACCTCAGTCTCTGTCACATGTACCCATTGATTGCGTGGCCTCGGAGGCCCTGGATTTACCCAGTTCCACCTTTTAGGCAGTACCTGTTTTCTCCTAGAGGTGCATTTAGCTTAGTGTGAAAGCACAGCATGTTCCCTCTTTGTTAACTTAACCTCTGTGTTGTTTTTTAGAAATCGGATTTGAAAGAACAGGGACTCTAGAAAGCCCGTGGTATGTAAATATTTAGCCAGGCTGATAGGGATAGTAAGCATTTTCTCTCAACACAAAACATGATTTTTATTTGCTAAAGCAGTAATAATCTTGTTTGATAATCCATCACTTTGTTATCAGTTATGTGGTGAGACAAAATGCCACAGGGAGGTAGTCAAGAACCTTCACCTGATACTCCAGGCTGGATAACAATGACTGGAGGAGAGGCTTCTGGAGGAGATTATGTCAAACATAGTCTTTCTATTTGCAGTTGATTTCCTCCAAGTGCTTTAACCATTCTACTCCCAGCCTAGCTAACTGGGTCATTTGAAAAACTTCAAGGAGATCTTTGCGGGTGCAGTGCAACAAGCCATGTCTCTTCACTAGGCCCTATTATGTCATCGTTTAGTGTTCAATGAAATTTCTGAATTAAAGAAAAAGAGAGATGAATGATGGTGTTACATTGAAGAAAGTATTTCAAACCCAAAGAAAAACAAGATAAAAGATCCAGAAAATTCCAGGTTGGAAACACAGGAAATTCTCACGGTTGATATCAGGGCCGTAAGTCTAAGTCCTCGGTCCAGCAAACTGGATTAGTAAATTGAAGTTTTAATATAAATTTGATTTGAGGACTCTCAACATGTCATTTTTGATTTCTGAACTGGGGTCAAGAACTCCACAGGTCTCCTCAGAGACATTCCTTGTCAAGGTCTTTGAAAGGTACAACTAGAGGGGGACAGAAATATTCAAGGGATTGTCTCCCTAGAGTTTTTTGAGAAGGCAGGGCTACTTCTGGTCCCACTGGGAGGCAGATAATTTCTTTCTAATGCTCATCATTGCCTACCCCATTCTTTTCTTCCTTGAAATTCATCTCCTGAGATTATCCACTATGCAAAATATCTCTACCTGAAAATCCAGTCTGCAAGTGGAAGGTCTTGTGGGATTACTTGATTGCTTCCTGGCATCTAAAAATAGAGGCTGTGTGGTTTATAGCAGTCTGAGATTATAATGTATTCATGTATATATGACTCATTTGAATCTTTCCTGAAATAAGCAGAAGAGGAAACTGAGTGTCAAAGAATTCAGGTATCTTGTCCAAGCTTACATAGTTGGTGATTACTTCCCTAGCTTTGCTCCTTTCCATGGTCTTCCTTTCCTCCTTTCCTTTCTCCTTGGAAGACATTTTTGTAGGCATGTATATAGATTCTGAAGCCAGATACCTGATTTTAAATCTCTAGTTCCGCATGACCTTAGGCAAGTTAGTTATCTTGGAACACCTTGGTCCTCAGCAGTAAAGTGAGAATGACACCATTATTTACTTATGGTACTGGGAAGATAAGGTTGTTTAATACAAGTGTAGCACTTAGAGTAGTGTTTGAGACGTAGCTAACATTTAATAAGCTTTTATTGTTATTACGGTTATTCCACCTCACGGGTAACGTGGGTTATTATTGTTGCTTATCACGATTGCTGCTCTTTCCTTCATTTTCCCTTTTGTGCCCTCATTAAACATTGAGGGCCTTCTCTCTGATGGGCTTTATGCTGAGTTGGGGAAACAAGTAAGAAAGATTCCCTTTCCACAGGAGGAAAAGCCATCCGAATAGTGTAGGGGGTAGCCATCTAATAGAGGTCTGTGACCGCCTGCCGATGTAGCCGCAGATGGATAGCTGGGAAGGCCTCATGGGGGAGGAGCCGTGGCATTTGAGTTGAACATTGAAGATAAAGAGGTGTCTACTCTGCTGAAAGTAAAGGGCTGGGCACTGCGGACAAAGGGCCTAGGATCCAGGACTCCCTGGCTGTGTGAAAGGCCCTGGCAGGGGTCTGGGAATGAGAAGTTATATTAGTTTACTAGGGGCCATAACAGAAGGCTTAAAAACAGAAATGAATTCTCTCACGGTTCTGGAGATTGGAATTCCAAGATCCAGGTGTCACTAGCTTTGGTTTCTTCTGAAACTTCTCTCTTTGACCTGCAGGCAGCCACCTTCCAGCGGTACCTTGGTTTTTTCTTTGTATCCTGGTCTTTTCTTGCTGAGTTAGGGCCTGCCCACATGGGCCTCATTTTACCTTAATTAACTTGATTAAGGTCCTTTTCCCAAATAGAGTCACATTCTCAAGTTACTGCGGATTAGGGATTTCACATACAAAATTTTGAGGGTCACATCACTCAGCTCATGAGAAAAGTCACTTTTTTTTTTTTTTAAAAGATTTATTTATTTATTTATTTATACAAGCACTGGGTACAGTCAGAAACACGGAGGGTGAGAGAATTCACCAGAGCCAGAGCAGGGAGCAGAGCAGGCAGAAGGACCGAAGTACACTGCTGAGGGGAGCAGCGGGTGGCAGGAGAGGTCTGCTCACCATGTGGGACCCTCCTCCGGTGGCCGGGGAGCAGCCGGGGAGCGCTGCAGAGGCTGCGGGCAGCTTCGCAACCCAGCGCTCAACCGCTGCGCCACCGGGGAGGCCTCATAGTCACACATCTTACTACTGTATTTTGTAAATGAGAGAAGAACCTCCCTTCCATTCTCCTGCCAGGTAGAAGCACACAGCTGCTCTTGCTGTTGACAGTCAGAGAATGAGATAATTACCCCTCTCCATTTTTAGAATCCTGTTCATAGGCAAGCGTTTCCATACAAAAAGAGCAGCGTTGTTTTGTGTAGTTCCCATTTTGTTTGGAGGCTTGAGACAGAAGCCTCCTGTCCTAGTTTTATTTGGTTCTTGATGTAGGTGCTTGAGCAAGTCATTTCATTTCCCTGGGATTTGGGCTTCTTTTTTGTAAAGTGGGGGTAAAAATATGTAAATTAATAAAACAGTGGTGAGGATTCAATACATAGGAGCCCTTTTTAGACCTTAAAGCTCTATGCAAATGTTAGTTCTTAGGATTTAAAATAAAAGATTGAAGGTGTTTGCATTTTGTAATTTTGATGACTCAGTAGAAAAAAGTAAGAATTTTCCATTCTAATCCCAGCTTTGAACCTGTGTCAAGGTTTTGGGCAAGGCAATTGCCAACCTTGCTTTGCAGAGTGGGAAGTGTGTTCCCTCAAGCTCTCTCTCTCTCTTCACTCACTCTCCTTCAGCTCTTCATGTCTCAGATGATGTCAGGATTAATTGGACAGTGTCCATGCTGTCTGCCTAGAAGATAGGAATTGCGAAGTATCATCTGGATGGGTTTGGTAAGCACTAGAATCTCCTTTCTCTGCTTTTGACAAACAGAGTGACAGCCCATCGCTGTGTTTAAACAAGTTAATATGTATGTTCCTTGACATAAGGAAGCTCTCTAATCATGAAATACAGCTTGCATGTCATTTGGTTTTGAGATTTTATTGAGCACTACTAATCTTGACATATTTTGGTTGGCACCACATTCTTGGTATAGTGGGTTAGCGGTTGAATAGTTTGCAGACTTTGTGAAACAAAATCCTCATTTAATGGTTTAGTTTGGCACATTTTTGAAAATATACAAAAACACAATGCACTTCTATTTTATAGGGATTATTTTTGAAATAGTGGCTTTGGTTGTCTTTTTTTTTTTTCTTTTTCCTCAATACCCTTTCTCTCTCTCCTCTCTCTCTCTCTCTTCTCTCATGTTCCAATTGCAGCAGCCAATAAAGAAAGCTCCAAAGAAAGCCAAGTTTGTGAACTGTCTGAACTGCAAGCAGAAGAATCCTCTTTGTACTAATCCATTTCAAGGATATGTTTACATCATGGCCTACTGCTCTGAACTTTTTATGTATCAGTGCAGGGATTCAGAACATCTGAAGGCCAACATGCAGTTCCAGTTCGGTGACAGGTCTGAAGCTCCCAGCAGAAGCACCTGGACTAAATATGCAACAGGGCTTCAGTCAACACCAGCTCCAAAGTCACTGAACTCCATGACATCATGCCCAGGCGGGAAAAGTCAACAGGCCTCTGGCTCAGATCCTCCAGTCCCAGCCCCTCCAGTTCCTAACTCAGGGACAATATTTAGAAAGCAGAGCTGGGGTCAGGCAGCCCTCTTAATTACTTTGGCTCAAACCTCCCTGAGTACATTTTGCTATCTTTGTTGTGATGTAAACAGGGGCACTCACAGTTGGCAGGGGATGTTCTTTCTGTTTTAATTACGCAAGGCTTAATAATAGTTCTAGGATCTAGAAGCAGTATAGAGTTCTTTGGATAACTTCACAGGGATTTTTCTGTTATGACATAGTTTATTTGGGGAAAAAAAGTAAGGCAAAAGGCATTTTCAAAGAGGAAATAATAACGCTATTCAAGCTAGCGTTCCATTCCATATTGAGTAGATCACAAACTTAGAGTAGACTTTTTATGGAAGGTGGGGTGCTAGACATCTCAAACTGTTGCATTCAGATAGTGGTGGGAAAACTGCATAAATACTGATGAATGGATGTAGGTGGTGAAGAATATGAAAATAGATGTTTTTACTTAAAAAAAAAAAAACAAAAAAACCAATAATGAAACATCTAGCTGTATCTAAGTGCATCTGTAAGCACCCTGGGTTCCAGGGATACAGAAAAAAAATCTCACCACGGTGATAGAAATCTAGCCTAAACCTGATCCATAAAATTCCCTCTGCCCCCAGATGTTCACTTAGAGGGCACTTCGTTACTCTGCTGATGTAGCGAGAAATCACAGAACTGCAGGGTAATGGAGAGAGCAGTGACAGGGGTGGAGAGGGGGCTGCTTCTCTGTTAAGAAACATGTTTTTATAGGTAATTCTGATGTACAGTAGGTATTAAATAGAGCAACTAAAAGATGTTTTATTTTAGATTAGTGCCAGAGTGATATTTTCCCCATGGCACTAATAACCAGGCAGTTTTCATGGGCCCAATTTCCCCCCCAGGTTCTCAAGACTCCCAGTTCTGTCTATTCTGGCATCAGGGTAAGCCATTGAGATGAAATCTCTACCTTAGGAAAAGAATCACCTTTGTCTCTGTGCTAGTTGGAAAGGATGTGATATGATGCACTTGGGAGGAAAGGGCGGGGGAGAAGATATGAAGTAAGTTCTGTGCATGCAATTTAGAGACAGGGAAATATAGATAGAGGGGGCAAGCCCTGGATAAAAAAAAAATAGCATTTCCAGATGGCATTTTGTAATTGAGTAATCACATAAGATGCCCTTTATGCGTGTGTGTTGGCTTGAAATCCAGGGAACAGATCGTTTCAACCTAACATCTCTGCTCTCTGCACTGGACACAGTCCTTGTCTAATTGTGAGCCCCTTACATCCTTCAAGGGCTGTCACAGGAACCACAATAAAGAGGCCTGTTTTTGAAACCACATTGTTTCCATCACTGTGGGAAAAAAATTAGGTCACTGCGAGCAGGGAGCATTGTTCGGTTTCAGCCTGCCCAAATTATTTCATTCATGTTAAAATTTAAGGCGACGAGAAGCATATTGCATGAGAAGACGGAAGTGACTTGTCCTTCTGCCCCTTTCCTCGCTGCTGTCTTGGCTTCTTGCCTCTCATCCTGACTCCTTTGTAGGTGGAGGGCTGGTCCTCTCAGCCGCCCGCGCCCCTCCAGGCCAGCCCACTCTACTGTTTTTTTTTTTTTTTTTCAATTTGTTAAGATGCTAAAATCTGCTTTGTGTGATTTATGAAGGAACTTGAAGCGATTAGTTTCACAGTGCATGAAAATTCCTCAGGTTCAGGGGGGTGGGGATGGGGGGCCGATGGCCAATCTGTTACACTGTTTGCCGTGGCCTGGATGGGAACATGAGCAGCTCGGAGCCATAAGGAGATTGTGTTGAGTTATTAAACACTTGTGGTAAAGCTGCTTATTGTTAATTCCCCGATGTCCTGCTGAAGCGATAGGATAAAATCAGATCGGATTAGATCAAAGAGCCTGGGAGCCAGCCTTTGGAGCAGATTCATTTAATCAATAAAGAGACCTCCTGAGAGAGGGGGAGAGAATAGGGCCCTACTGGTCACACAGGAGATTAAGGTGGGGGGTGGGACAGGGGGAGTGGTGGGAAAGAACCAACACTTACACGTATTTATTTCCCCCTTTCTTTGGGAGGTATAATTCTGCTCTCAAACATTTTAGCCACATTCACCACCAAGAGAATAAATATTTCTTTAAGATTTCATTACACTGGTAATGCCCATATAGGCCAGGAGGTTATTTAAAAACAAAAAACAACTTCTGTTCCGTAACAGATATTTCAACAGAAGCAATTTAGGCTTAAATGATTCCCCAAGAAACATTAATCCCTTATGAGTTAATCTGCAAAATTTCCTATTGTCCCTTTGTGAGGAGAAATAATAGAGAAACACCAAAAGGCCAAAGTCTGGCCCCACCCCCTCTTTGTATTCTCCCCATGCTCACCCCCAACCCCCCTATAATTATAAAGCATTGTGTAGTAAGAGGTATGATGCCATGTCCTTCATCCATGATTAACACTTAAACTGATGCATATTCATCCATCTCTTAGCCCTACCCAACCCTGCCAGATAAAAGTGAGGACTCGCTGAGAGGAAGCGACACCCATTAGAAACTTAACCATAGAAAATGAGGGAAAAAATGAAGGATGGAGCAAATTAAGGATGCGCGTCCCCCAACGGTTATTGGCCTTAATGGTGTTATAAAAATGATGTCGGCTTTTACCAGGAATAATTTATATTCCGAATTAAATAAGGATATGTATCTATAAATCCATTCTATAAAACTTAATTTTCCATCTAGATATGCTGATTACTTCGGGCTCGGCATACCTTTACCGGTTGTTAATTACCTCGGGATGGTTTAACACTATTTTCCAAATCAGCATGCATGCATAAAATGACTGCAATCCAATTTGACACATTATTAGTGATGATTATTGTCATAGATAAATTAGATTGAACAGAAAATAACCTTCATCTTTAGCATGTTTTAGCTCTCAGAATTAATGTGATTTGGTGAACACATATAAATAAAAATCTGATGAGTCCCTGCTGACTACAGGGCCTGCTGGTGCTGAAGTGTATCAATTTCATGCAGATGATGAATTCCTTAAGCATTCAATGATAATCATGCTTGATTTGACAAGACTTTCTCATGCTATTTTAGGGCCTTAATTTTCTGTGAAGTTCTGTCAAGTGCTCATCAAGCACCCACTTATCTTCGTATCTTAACCTGGCAGCCAATCACAAGGTTGCCTAACAGTACAGCTACCCAGTGCCAGCCCATTAATATTCGAGTCATGTGACTGTCCAAGGAGAGAAACCAATCAATGGCTGATTAACATTCAGGTCACATGACTCCTGAGGAGAGTAAATGAGTTACACAGTAAGACATCAAACAAATTTTCATCTTGAAAGAGTGATTGCTTTTTCTGCTGCTGTGATGTTTGTCAAATTCACTCTAGCCTTGTCCAATTAAGCTCCATGAGCTGAATTAATAATGAAGAGATGTAAGCACTGTGCCAGCATGAGAGCTGTGAGTGGTGCCATGGAGTAAGAACTGCTAAAAAAAAAAAAATAGAAATCCTAGAATGATTGAAAAATCACATCTGGATAACTGGAATAATTGCTTTTGCAATCTTGATGCTGTTTTGTCTTCTCCAGTGCAAGTGTGAACTAGAGTACCCTGGGCAGTGGTACTTATTTTGTGCTAGATTTCAAAGATGAACCTAGTGTTGAGTTTAGAAGGGCTTTAAAGATGTTCTAAAAATACATGTTTAATTGGATTATTGTTTGTGACCTACTAGTGAATTTTATTTGCATATTCAATTATTTGCTGGGACCTTCTAGCAATGTGATCTTTCAAGATTTTTAAACTATCTGCGGAAGGGAAGGCGATTACCCTTGTATTCTTGTATCTTGAGTGGAAGCAAGGATGACAGCAACTATTTTAAAGATAATTTGTGTGTGTGTGCGTGTGTGTGCGTGTGCTCGCACACTGTTCATTGTATTAATATTTACAGGTGAGTGAATTAAGTTCCCTGAATTATTTCAAAATGCACAGGAGAGCCTAATGAGAATTTTCTGGGAAAGGCAGATGTTCTCTTCCTGTTGATAGCCAATGACAGCTTTCCTGTAGTTTCTAGGAAAGTTCTATTCAATCACAAAATCAAGAACATTTCAGCACAGATGCATTACTAAATTCAGGTGACATGTTTAGAATAGAGACCCTATGACTGAAAATGCTTTCATTCCTTCCCTGAAGGGAGTGAGACTTGATTAATGGCTTATTGGAATTATCAAAGAGTGTCAAATCCCACTTAATAAGTTCCAGCATGAAATTAGCTAAATTCCCAAAGGTCTTTCTAAAACAATATTGTCAAATAAAAGGTGTTGGGTGTGCTGGAAAGGGTGTTAAAACCAGTTACTTGAAAGTGACGAGAAATAAATGTAACTGCAGGCAGGAGGCAATGTTTATGTATACAGTTAATAACCTCCTTAATGGGACTTCTTGGCTTGGTGATTCCCATACCGGGAGGAAAGTAGATGTGGAGCACAGGGTAGGCGAGGGGCCATAAGTCAATTCCCAGCACTGTTAGTCAAGGATGGAAATTGCAAAGAGAGAGAGAGAGAGAAGCAATGAATTTAACAGCCCCCGTAAGCAGAGAGAGAGTGGAAGGAGAGATGCATTGTTGGAGGTGGGGGTGGGGGGGAGAAGATGCTGGAAGAGTTGATCATCCTAATGGAATGAAATCCCACTTAGTTCAAAGAACAAGGGACTCCACTGATGCTCGTGAAGACTTTTCTGACAGTGCTTACTAATGACTTAGAAAATAACAGGGTAAATACCATCTTAGGGTGAATAAGGACTAAAAGGGGGCATATTACAGAATATTTTTTAAAACAAAAGTAGATATCCCAACCACCAGGGCTCAAAGTGTATGTCAGATACTTGGGACAACATTTTTGAGTTTGTATGAAAAGACCTGAGGTACCCAAGGTACTGTAAGTTTAACTGATATTCTCTTCTGGAATATTTTACCCATGACTCACTTTGCAGCAAACTGGCAGCCTGAAGCTCTGCTTACATTACCCACAGGCAATAGGGCCTCTCCCTACAAGCACCCCGCTTCCTGACATTTGAGAGCCATGGAATGGGAGGTGGTTCAGTGGCTTTAGAAGGCCCCAATCAAAAGAGTATTCCACTTTCTGCATAATTTTACATAATTAATAGTTTTCCATGCAAACTATTGTTTGCCTTAACTGTTGTTTCAACAGCTGTTTTCATTAAATTGTAAAGCCCGCTGTGCCTAATCCTTTGAGCCACACTATTGATAACAAGAACAGCTCTGGAGGAAGAGTTCGTTCTCTGCCAAGCTGGAAAACCGTCATGAAGAAGTTACTTGAAAAATAAGGCCTACAGTGGGACTGGTTGTGTAGCTAATCCATTAGGCTTTTCAAAAGACCCAGGCTCTGTACCCTATGGCTAAATTGACCCAACAACCAATCAATGCCTTTATTTGCTGAGTGGCTGCCCCTCAAGGGTCTTAGAGCTGGGTCCAAGTCGTAATCAAAGCCTCCATCAGTACTGGGGCCCTGATGACATAAATGGCCAAACTTTCAGCGAGGCTGGCCCAGGTCCAGTCACACCATTTTGAAGATACAAAGAGGCTGTGTTGCGCAGTGGAATTCATTTTCTTGTTTACTTCCTCCAGAAACAAGAGCATCATCAGCACGCTCAGTGCATCGGATCAGACCGCGGAGTTGTTGACAGAAGCTTGGCGAGCTCTGCCAGCTTTCCACATGAAACGCTGGCTTTCTTCTCATACACCCCCTACCGTTTGTGTCTCTGCCAATTGTAGCACATCAGAGCGGCCATTGAGATAATGACCGTGAAGTCTCATGATACACTTTGATGAAGTGTAACATTTTTTAAAGGATTTTTGTCTCTGCCAAAATGATGGAGGCAGCTGACTCAAAATCGCCCCATCAAAATCAAGGCTGATGAACAGCAGCGGAGGCTTGAACCTCCCCAGAGAACGTGGGGGGGAGGGGGAGTTTGTAGCCAAAGTGTCTTTCTTCCCGTGTCTATGATCACCACAGATTCCTTTTTTGAAAAAATCGTCTTTGTCACAGATGAATGTATGTCAGGGGCTGATGCTTCAGCCGCCAACATTTTTAAATTCTTCTTTTTTGCCAAACCCCAGAAGACACAGGCAGTGATTCCTTTCTGACAGTTCTTTACTAATGACTTAGAAAATAACTTCCGTTGTTAACAACTTGGTTTTGATTGTGAAAAGCGCACTGGGTGTTTCAGTGCAACGCAGATTACTCAGAGGCTGACCCTGGTTCAGGTAAACTCGGATTTCCCTAGTTTAGCTGG